GTCAGCAGCTCCTGGGACACCGGGATCCCCGCGCAGTCCCGGGAGGACGACGAGCAGCTCGGGCGGGCCTGCGGCGCGCCGCGGACCTCCATGCCTTTCCCGAGGCTCCGAGCCGCGCCCGCCAGGCCCGGATGCCGGAAAGAGGCTCGGGGAGGGGGCGGGGCCGGGGCCGCGATTGGAGGAAACGCCGGGGTGGGCGGGGCGGAGCCAGGGGCGGGGCGACCCCTGGCGTTCGGGCGTGCCTACCCGCGCGAGAGGCGGCTTCCGGCTCCGGAGGCGCTGTGGTTGGGAAAAGCGCGGGCAAGTCTGGATTTAACTGCACAAATTCACGCAAAGAGCCCAGATGACGTGGGGGTGCCCACCTCTTAATTCTTTTTTGTTAAAGCAGTTTTTTAAGGCCGTGCGTGGTGGCCCTCGCCTGTAATCCCAGCATTTGGGGAGGCCGAGCGGGGAGAATCGATGGAGCACAAGAGTCGGAGACCAGCCTGGGCGACGTCGTGTGACCTCGTCTCTATAAAAAAGGTGTTATAGCCCGATGCGTTGGTTCATGCCTATCATCCCAGCACTTTGGGAGGCCGAGGTGAGAGGACTGCCGGAGCCCGCGGGTTTGAGACCAGCCCGGGCAACTTGGCGAGACCGCGTCTCCACAATAAATCAAGAAATGAGCCGGGCGTGGTGGCGCGTGCCTGTAGTTCCAGCTCCTTGGAAGGCGGAGGCGGAAAGGTCACCGGAGCCCAGCAGGGTGAGGCTGCGGTGGCCGTGAGCGTGCCACTGCACCCCAGCCTGGACGACAGGGTGAGACTCCAACTCCAAAAAAAAAAAAAAAAAATGTGGTTAAGATGGCAAATTGTGTCACATGTTCTCACAACTAAAAAAAAAATTTTTTTTTTGAGTTGGAGTCTCACTCTGTCTCCCAGGCTGGAGTGCAGTGGCACGCTCACGGCCACCCCAGTGTCGACCTGCTGGGCTCAGGGGATCCTTGCACCTCAGCCTTCCAAGTGGCTGGAACTACAGGCACGCGCCACCACGCCCGTCTTATTTTTTGGTTTATATATCCCAAAGAGGTGAAAAGGGGGGTCTTTAAGATATTTGCACACCCATGTTCACTGCAAAGTTGTTCACAGCAGCCAAGAGGTGGAAGCAGCCCAAATGTCTATTGAAGGATGAACAGAAAGAAAATATGATACATACATACAGCGGAATATCATCCAGCCTTAAAAGGAAGGGAATCCTCTTACACGCTACAACATGCCTAACCTTGAGGACATTATTATTATTTTTTGAGTCGGAGTCTCACTCTGTTGCCCAGGCTGGAGTGCAGTGGCACCCTCATGGCCACCACAGCCTCCAACTGCTGGCTCAGGCGGCTCTTGCGTCTCAGCCTTCCAATTAGCTGCAACTACAGGCGCGTGCAACCCCGCCCAGCTAATTTTTTTGATTTATTGTTGAGAGGAGGTCTTGCCAAGTTGCCCAGGCTGGTCTCGAACCCGCAGGCTCAGGCAGTCCTCTCGCCTATGCCTCCCAAAGTGCTGGGATTACAGCCTTGAGCCACCGCGCCTGGTAAGGACATTATTTTAAGTGAAATAAGTCAGTCACAAAAAAGACAAGTACTGTAGGAATCCACTTATATGAAGTATCTGCAGTAGTTAAACTCATAGAAACAGTAAGTAAAATGGTGGTTACCAGGGATAAGAGAAGGGAACTGGGGAGTTCAGGGTATCGGTTTTGCAGGATGAAAAATGCCCTAGAGATCAGTTGCACAACAATGTGGATGTAGTTAATGCTACTGAATTGTACAATCAAAAATGGTTAAGGACCGGGTGCAGTGGCTCACGCCTACAATCCCAGCACTTTGGGAGGCCAGAAGTGAGATTACTGGATGATCTAGTAATTCTACTTTTCAAGTTTTTGAGGAGCCTTCGTACTGTTTTCCACAGCGGCTGCACCATTTTAAAACATTCCCACCAACAGTGCACAGGCCTTCCAATTTCTCCACATCCTTGTTGATACATACTATTTCTTTTTTGTTTGTTTCTTTTTTGACAGTGGCCATTCCAGGAGCGTAAGATATACTTTGTGGTTTTGATTTGCATTTCTCTAATGATTAGTGATGTTAAACATCTTTTCTTGGGTTTCTTGGCCATTTGTTTGCATTCTTTCAGAGAAATGGTCTATTCAACTCCTTTTTTCAAACCCGTTTTAAAATTGGGTTATTTGTTTTATTGTTGTTGAGTTGTAGGAGGTGTTCTTCATGTATTCTGAATATTAACCTTTATCAGATATATGATTTGCAAATATTTTCTCCCATTCCGTGGGTTGCCTTTTCACTCTGTTTATTTCTTCCTTTCCTCTTTGTTCTTTCAACAGTCTTTATTGACCACCTACAGTATGTCCAGATCCCTCTGACACAAGATGCACAGTAGAAGAAGCAGTAATTTTGTACCAACCTATTTTCCTTATTTCTGACAGCAAGGGACTCCAGAGTCAGTCAGACCTAGATTAAATCCAATGTCATGTCTATTATTTAATAGCGATGACTTTGGGCAGATCACTCTCTGAGCCTCTGTTTCCTCCTCTGTAAAATCAGTATCATAATACTTCACAGGGATGCCCTAAGGAATAAAAGAGGCAGAGGAGTAAAATATATAATGGCACTAGAAGCTGCATTATTTTAATTATCATAATAATTTAACATTACATGATAATCAAGTTATAAGACTTAGGCCATAAAGAATTATAGGAGAAATTACAGTTGTTGTTGAAGAAAGCACTGATTAATACATTTTAAATGCTGATTTCACTAATACTTCCTAGTTAAAATCTATTTTGTCTGGAGATCCTTCAGGGAATGAATATTGTCTTTTGTTCTTTTTATTCCCATGAGGTCTGCCCTATTGACCTAATCACATTCTAAAGGCCTCTGAATACTTGGAGGGTAGGATTTCAACATATGAACTTTAGGAGAACACAAACATTCAGACTATATCAATTGGTCTAAGACTTAAAAACCCTCCTCCCAAAATTGATTTTTTGATAGATTTGGTTTTTTTTTGAGTTGGGGTCTCACTCTATTGCCTTGGCTGGAAGGCAGTGGCATGTTCACGGCCCAGCAGCCTCGACCTGCTGGGCTCAGGCAATTCTTCTGCCTCAGGTTTCCAAGTAGCTGGAACTACAGGTATGTGCCACCATGCCCAGCTAATTTTTTGATTTATGTAGAGATGAGGTCTCGCCAAGTTGCCAGCTGGTCTCGAACCTGTGAGTTCAGACAGTCCTCTCACCTCGGCCTCCTAAAGTGCTAGAATTATAGGCGTGAGCCACCACAACCAGCCTGACAGATTAAATAAGACCTAACTACAGGCTATAGCAAGAAATTCAGTTTAAATGCCAAGACAAGACACAGCTTAAAAGTGAAGTGACAAAAAAAATATGCCATGCAAGTACTAAACAAAAATAAAGCTAAAGTATCTATATTACTATTAAACAAAATGGATTTCAAAACAAAGAATACTACCAAGCATAAAGAAGGACTTTTTTCATAATGATAGAGATAAATTTCTCATGATGATATAACAATAATAATTGTACTTGCACCCAGTAGCAGAGGTTTTTTGTTTCTGGGTGTTTTTTTTTTTTATCAGAATCTCACTCTATTACCCAGACTGGACTGCAGTGCCATGTTCACAGCCACCACAGCCTTGACCTGCTGGGATCAGGCAATCCTTCCACCTCAGCTTTCCAAGTAGCTGGTAGTATAGGCATGTACCACCATGCCCAGCTAAATTTTTGATTTATTGTAGAGACAAGTTCTCGCTAAGTTGCACAGGCTGATCTCAACACACGAGGCTCAGGCAATCCTCTCGCCTCTGCCTCCCAAAGTGCGGGGATTACTGGTGTGAGCCACTGTGCCTTGCTTGGTAACAGAGTTTTATAATACAATAAGCAAAAACCAATAGAACTAAAAGGAGAAGTAGACAAATATAATATTACTTTTCAAGCTTTCAACACTCTCCTTTCTCAGTAATTGATAAAGTGAACATAAAACCAGCAAGTGGCCGGGCTCCGTGGCACAGCCTGTAATCCCAGCACTTTGGGAGGCCGAGGCGAGTGAACTGCCTGAGCCCATGGGTTTGAGACCCACCTGGGCAACTTGGCAAGACCTCATCTCTACAATAAATCAAAAAAATTAGCCGGGTGTGGTAGCACACACCTATAGTTCCAGCTACTTGGAAGGCTGAGGCAAAAGGATCACCGGAGCCCAGCAGGTCAAGACTGCGGTGGCCGGGAGCAGCCACTGCACTCCAGTCCGGGCAACAGAGCGCGACTCCAACTCAAAAAAATAAAATAAAATAAAACCAGCAAGTATGAAGAAGACTTATTATCAGCCAATTTAACCTAACTGACATATACAGGCCTGGTGACAGTAGAATACACATTGTTTGAATTGTTGATAGAAATCAGTACGATAGAGTTGAGCATGGTGGCTCACACCTGTAATCTCAGCACTTTGGGAGGCTGAGGCGGAGAGGATTGCCTGAGCTCAGGAGTTTAAGACCAGCCTGAGCAACACAGCAAGACCTCATTTCTACAATAAATCAAATTAAGCCAGGCATGGTGGTGCATGCAGGTGGTTCCAGCTACTTGGAAGGCTGAGGTGGAAAGAGCACCTGAGCCCAGCAGGTCGAGGTTGTGGTGGCCATGAGCATGCCACTGCACTCCAGTCTGGGTGACAGAGAGAGATTCTGACTCAAAAAAAAAAAAAAAGAAAGAAAGAAATCAGTAAGATAGAGCATATGCCAGGCCATAAAATAAGATACAAAAAATTTAAGTGGCTGATGTTATACTAAATTATCTCAACAAAATTAAACTAGAAGTCAGTAACAAAAGACATTTTGAAAACCTCCACGTGTTTGGAAATTAAACAACTCTTCTAAAAAACTGAAGAGTCAAATTAAAAGTATTAGAGAAATTATAAAATATTTTGAGCACAATTAAAATAAAAACAGAAAAGTTCAAAGTTTGTGTCATAAAGCAAAATCAGTACGAAGAGGAAAATTTACAGCATTAAATGCTTACATTGAAAAAGAAATAAAAT